TATTTGCCAGCTATACATCAGACAAAGGACTGATAACCAGAATATATAGGGAACTTAAAAAACTAAATTCTCCCAAAACTAATGAACCAATAAAGAAATGGGCAAGTGAACTAAACAGAACTTTCTCAAAAGAAGAAATTCAAATGGCCAAAAAACACATGAAAAAATGCTCACCATCTCTAGCAATAAAGGAAATGCAAATTAAAACCACGCTAAGATTCCACCTCACCCCTGTTAGAATAGCCATCATCAGCAAAACCAGGTGTTGGCGAGGATGCTGGGAAAAAGGAATCCTCTTACACTGTTGGTGGGAATGTAAACTAGTACAACCACTCTGGAAAAAAATTTGGAGGCTACTCAAAAAGCTAGACATTGATCTACCATTTGATCCAGCAATACCACTCTTGGGGATATACCCAAAAGACTGTGACACAGGTTACTCCAGAGGCACCTGCACACCCATGTTTATTGTGACACTATTCACAATAGCCAAGTTATTGAAACAGCCAAGATGCCCCACCACTGACGAATGGATTAAGAAAATGTGGTATCTATACACAATGGAATTTTATGCAGCCGTGAAGAAGAACGAAATGTTATCATTCGCTGGTAAATGGATAGAATTGGAGAACATCATTCTGAGTGAGGTTAGCCTGGCCCAAAAGACCAAAAATCATATGTTCTCCCTTATATGTGGACATTAGATCAAGGGCAAACACAACAATGGGATTGGACTTTGAGCACATGATAAAAGCAAAAGCACACAAGGGAGGGGTGAGGATAGGTAAGACACCTAAAAAACTAGCTAGCATTTGTTGCCCTTAATGCAGAGAAACTAAAGCAGATACCTTAAAAGCAATTGAGACCAATAGGAAAAGGGGACCAGGAACTAGAGAAAAGGTTAGATCAAAAAGAATTAACCTAGAAGGTAACACACATGCACAGGAAATCAATGTGAGTCAATGCCCTGTATAGCTATCTTTATCTCAACCAGCAAAAACCCTTGTTCCTTCCTATTATTGCTTATACTCTCTCTACAACAAAATTAGAAATAATGGCAAAATAGTTTCTGCTGGGTATTGAGGGGGTGGGGGGAGAGGGAGGGGGCTGAGTGGCTGGTAAGGGAGGGGGTGGGGGCAGGGGGGAGAAATGACCCAAGCCTTGTATGCACATATGAATAATAATAAATAAATAAATAAAATAAAAAATAAAAATAAATAAAATAAATAAAATAAAATTTGGAGAACATAAGCTGTATATCAGCAGCAAACTCTTGTGTATCCTGATAATCTCAATTCTGCATTTTCTACTTGAAATGCTGATGTAAATGCGGTCATTGTAGTTGTCAGGCCAAGAGCAGAAGCATTAACTGGTGTTTAGACAGGCCAGACATAGGCAGACACTTCTTCATCGGTAACTCCTTCAAAATATCATTGCAATGTTTTAACTGTTTTTATAGCTTTCCTTTCTTCAAGCTTTGGTGCTGTTGATGAAAGTCAGGTAAGTCCTTTAGTGGATCTTGATTGTGCAAACACTCTACTAACAGGTTGGAGCCATGCTACCTTTGGCTGAAGACCTCCAGGAGGTGTAGCTAGGGTACTAGGAGCCAGGATGGCCATTGTTATAGGGATGGTAGTATCTGCTTTTTGCTTAAGCCCTTTTTCTTGGCAAAGGGCTGAGCTGGGGTTGCTGCAGGACAGCAAGGAATTCAGGCACTTGGGAAGGGTAGAAGAAATGAGAGACAGATGATGAATATTGAGGACAGTGGTAGATAGCTCAGTGAGGATGCATATAGAATTGTGTGTGACACAGAAAGGACAGAAGGTACCTGATGGAAACTGGTAATACTGCCCTGGAGTGCTGCCAACGTGGTCTCCTTCTTATTGCTATACTTAGGGATGGTCACCACAACTTCTTGCTCCTCTTGTGGCATTGCTTCCACTTTCTATAGGAAGATCTTTTTCAGTGTTTGTGCGATTAAGACAAGATTATCAGTGGGCTTGTTATATATAAAACAGTTGGTGATCATAGTGTTAAAATCCTGCAAACATTCTGAGGCACGCCAATGGTAATTGTTTTCACGTCTCCTCTTAATGGTACCCATGTCCAGACTATTTAATTATCTTATGATACTCTGGTAGACCCAGGTTGACAGCATAACAAGCTGTGAGAATGGCCATGCAAACTGATATTTCCAGAGAGCCTTCATCAATACCTTGCAGATTTTGTAGGGTTGGTTACTGTCCTGGGGGCAGAATGTTGGTAGAGATCACTTGCAAAGGTGGCAATTCAGTCACATGCAGCTCTCAAATCCCTCATATTGATCCTGGATTTTTGATTCCAAGTTCGTGCCCTGTGCTAGTGAATGGTCAAAATGCTGGACCAGGAGTTAAGAAGAAAGCAAATGCAAAGTTTACTGAAAGGACAGCAAAAGCTCCCTAAGGTGGGAGGGGACTTTAGAAAGCTAAAGGAGGTAGTATAGCTGCAAACTAGGAATGATACATGGCTCTACCTGTCTTAGGTCTGACTAGTCTATCTTGAGTCTACATTTGTGATTGCTTAGCACCTAGTCAACTTCTTACTGAAGCTGACTATCTGCCCTGTCCCCATCCTTTTCAAACAGAACATTTCTACTGGTTCTGGTAAGCTGGTCCTGATCTGGGGGACCACATTTTGCAGCTGCATTTTGTTATTTTGATGACAGGCTTATTATTTCTGTGAGAATCCTGATGTTTTCCAGACTGCTTACAACACAACAGAGAAGGCTTTAAAATACTTTTCCCTAGATCAGCAGCCTCTGGTCCCAGCCCCAGTGACCCTGCTGTATTTCCTTCCGCAGGTAGCTTGGGGAGGAACATTTTGCAACATCTTGAACACAGGGAACTGGTGCGGCACTCAGCTGTGCCAAGTCCAGATGGCCTAGGCTCACCTCACCACCAGTTCAGCACAAGCCAGGAAGTGGGAGGAGGCCATTGCCCCTGGCCTTCCAAGCAACAACCTTCCACCAGAGGGGCTGGCAGAAAGCAGTTTCCTCTGCTGCCTGTTGGTGAACTCCAGGAAATTTGGCATGCTCAGTAAGAAAATGCCAGCAGGTTTGGCTGAGAAAGAGAAATGAGGGAGCATTTATTCTTCAACATCAAACAGCTCCTCATTCTAGGTACCTGTTGTCAATAAGTCCACTCTCAGTTTACAGGGAGCCCCTCCTCTGGTTGGGATAATTGGGGCAAATGAGGTCCCATCTGTATCTCAGAAGAAGGTGAATGAACACAAGAAATGGTTTGGGGAGAGGAAGGCTTCATCTATCACCCAAATAATTTCAAAGTTTTTATTTTATTTTTGAATTTGCATACACTAATAATGTAAGATTTCATTGTGATAATTTTATACACAGAGGTAGTATAAATTGATCAAGTTCACCCCCTGCATTGTATTTCCATTCGCCTCCTTCCCACTTTTCCAGTGTTTGGTAGGCTTCATTACATTGTTTTCATATGTATATATGTAGTGAACTATATTTCCATCCCTCAGTTCCTCAGTTTTTTCTTCTTTTTTTTTTCTAATTCAAGGCTTTGTGTTTGTAAAGCAGGTGCTCTATCACTGGAGTCACATTTTTGTTCTGATTGTTTTGAGGATGGAGGTCTCACCCACTATTTACTCAGGCTGGCCTCAAACTGAGATCTTCCCACTCTTAGCCTCCCAAATAGCTAGGATTATAGGGGTCACCACCAACATCTAGCCCCAATTCATTTTATAAAGCTTCCACTGCACAAACCTAGAAAAGGTATATACAAAGAAAAACCAATCTCCCTGATGAATATTAAGTGAAAAAATCTTAAGAAGAAGTCCCCTTCCAAGCATATTCAGTGCTGCCTCTGCCTATGGTCAAGAACCCAACTCATACAAGAGTATTTTATATCAAATTCTCCTGAATGGAGGTTTGAATGAATATGTATGTGAAATCCCAGTTTGCCATAGTCCTTAGGTGGATGTTTTCATTAAGGTATGACTTGATTTTTTGATATCTTGTGAATTAATTTTTTTCTTTGTTTTCCCCCTACCTTATACTATTTAGCGTTGAGTGAAAATGTTGTTCACTTCTTATTTTGTTGTAATATCTGCAGAAAAGTTACAAGACAAATATGTATAAATGTCATTTACCAAATGTTAACATTTTGCCGCATGCACTTTTTTCATTAACTCTTTTTACCTTTCTCCTCCTCCCTCTTTTTCTTCCTCCTCCTTCCCTTTGTCTCCCTTTCTTATTTTTAAAACCCTTTGAGTGTAAGTTGCTTTACAATTTTGCTTCTAAGTCTTAAGTTATTCAAGATATAGACATTGTTTTATCTAAAGACAGTACAATTATTATAATCAGGAATTTAGCATTATTATAATATGATTATCCTTTCTGTCGAACTCCTTTTTACTATCCCCCAAAATGTCATCCATTACAAATGAAACTCCAGGTTGTGCATTACATTGGATTCACATATTTTTTTAACCTTTTTTCATCTGGAGAATCTTCTAGCATATCTTTATATTTATGGCATTGACATCATTAAAGGACAAAAGTCATGTATTATGTGGAATATCTGTTAATTTGTATGAAATTCAACTCACTTTAGATTGAAGTCCTGCATCTTTTGGCTTTTTCATGAATCCTATCAGAAAACATGCTGTTGATTTGTCCCAGCACTGAAGGCTGATGACTATCTGACAAGTTTCTTAAAAGTACATGATTAATATAGTCGGGATTATCAGATCAATTTTCTGGCATTCCCTTTGGTTTGGCTATTACAAATTTGATGTATAAGCAAATAGTTGGGATGAGGAGACCCCATATTTTGGGATCCCATTTTTGAGTGAAATGAGATTGACTTTGGGCAAAATGACTGACTTCAAACATAACTTGAGTGATAGGCATGGAGATCATTTCTACTACATGTAAGAGGCTTGTTTTATGCTGATTGTTGTATCTCTTCATTTGTTTACATATCAGGTACATGGAAGTGGGAAATCACACAGGAGTGTTGGAATTCATCCTCCTTGGACTGTCAGAGGACCCAGAATTGCAGCCTGTCCTTTTTGGCTTATTCCTGTCCATGTACCTAGTTACCATGCTTGGGAATCTGCTCATTATCCTGGCCATCAGCTCAGACCCTCACCTGCACACCCCCATGTACTTCTTCCTCTCCAACCTGTCCTTTGTTGACATTTGTTTCAGCACCACTATTGTCCCCAAGATGCTGGTGAATATCCAGAAAGAGAACAAAGCCATTTCCTATGTGGACTGCCTCAGTCAGGTATATTTTTCCATGCTTTTTCCTATCCTAGACACCCTACTACTAACTGTCATGGCCTATGACCGGTTTGTGGCTATCTGTCACCCCTTGCACTACATGGTCATCATGAATGCCCATGTCTGTGACCTGCTGGTTTTTATTACCTGGTTTATTGGTGTCATGACATCTCTCCTCCATATTTCTCTGATGATGCACCTGACCTTCTGTAAAGATCTTAAAATTCCACACTTTTTCTGCGAGCTGACACAGATTCTCAATTTGGCTTGTTCTGATACCTTCCTGAATAGCACATTGATCTATGTCATGACTGGTGTGCTGGGTGTCTTTCCCCTTGTTGGGATCCTTTTCTCTTACTCACGAATTGCCTCATCCATAAGGAAGATGTCCTCATCGGGAGGAAAGCAAAAAGCATTTTCCACCTGTGGATCTCATCTCTCAGTTGTTTCCTTATTTTATGGTACTGGTGTTGGGGTCCACTTCACTTCTGCAGTCACTCATTCACCTCAGAAAGTCTCTGTAGCTTCTGTCATGTATACTGTTGTCACCCCCATGCTGAATCCCTTCATCTACAGCATGAGGAACAAGGATGTGAAAGAGGCCTTGATAAGACTCCTCAGTAGAATGGCTTCTTGTCTGTGATGTATCCACTAGGCCTAGGACTAGTTTGTGTATTCCAATGGAAAAACGTTCTGAAAATCTTGCCTCTGAATCTCTCAAACCATTTTATTCTTTTACCTAATCCTGGAGGAACTATGATTTTTTTCTCTCATAGTTTTTTCCGCTTTTCAAAAACTTATCTCCAACTAATTTCTTTGATAGCATCTCTGCCTTATCAACTGTCCAAATATCATGTTCTTATCCTCTTTCTTATATTAGCATTAGTAAGATTTAAACTTTGACTTGAAGCATTTACAATAGCCTTGTTATCTCAGGTGTTGCCAGGGGCGTCTTAAACTGGACTGTTCATTTCATTTATTTCTATGTATGTCCAGTGGGTTTGTGTTCTTTAAATGTGTATGCATATCATTAATGGTGTTCAAAAACTACATAAAGTATGCTTAAAATGTATATTAAAACATCATTGACATTTTAGTATGTATTATGTATTGATCAGACGCTAATTACTCCATGTTATATATTTTAGTATACTATATTATTATGCAACTTCAAAGTGGCAATTATTATCATCAGAGGTGAGGAAATTGAGGCTCTATGTGAAACATACATACACACACACACACACACACACACACACACACACATACAACCCAAAACAGAACATGTTTCAAAAGTTACACTGGGACCAAATGGAAAAAGCAGGATTCAAACTCTGATCTTTACTTTTGAGCTTATATTCTTACCAAATAAACTCAACAGCCTTTAATATGAATTTTGATGTGGATGTCTCTGTTGTGAATTTTACTGGATATTGACAGTATTTCTGGTTACCCTCTATAATTGGACATCATAGATCATTGTATTTCCTTTTTCTTTTAAAATTAAATGCAGTAAAATCTTTTGATCAGTGCAATAAAGTAAGAGTAGACATGATTTGAAACCTCTAGACTAAAATACTTAAGAGATGGCACAATGTTCTTAATGTTTATTTTTCCTGTGGCATTGTGAAAGTATGCATTGATATGGATCTATCCTAAGATTAACATGGTCTAGAAAGCTGAGCTAATACATGGAGGACTCCAAAATACAGTTTCCCTAATAGGAAGACACTTTTTATGGGGAAGAATGAAGGTTTTGTTTCAATAAGTTTGTAACATCTTAGTGTTTTTTGTTAAAGTAACATAACGTAAATACCTTTGCTGTTAACATATCTTGAAATCCAAAGTTGGAAGCTTATCTACTGCAATGCTTTTTACTATTATGCTAAGTAATTCTGAGATCTTTCTTATTCATTGATGATCCTTCCATTGTTTCTTGAGTACTGTAATTCAAATTCACATATGTACATGCATGTATATATACATACAAATATATATGTCTTTGTCATATGAGTGCTGGTATAACAAAATATTTGAGAGTGAGTAGTTTATAAAAATAGAAATTTATTTTTTATTATTTTGGAGCCTGAGAAGTCCAAGTTTAAGGCACTGGGTGATTTCATGAGGGATGCATCCTCTGGGGATGAGGGAAGTTTTGCCATCATTTGGCAAAAAGCATAAGGAAAAGTGAACCCAATACTGTACCAAACCTCTTTTACACAGGCCTTGATCTCATTCATGAAACAGCAGTCCTTATATCCTATTCATCTCTTAAATGCCACATGTCTTATTATCACATTGGCAATACCTGAACATATTCAACCCGTAGCAAAATGTATGCTGATTTACATATGGCTCATAGTCCTAAAAGATAATTTATTATTATGTCAATAATAGTAGATAAGATCCTTAATAGTAGGTATGTTCCTTTGAAGTAGTAACCTTTCCTATAGTAGAACTGCATCCATGAGTAACTTAAGATTTTCATTGTCCACTTGCAGAATACTAGTAGTAATCACAGAGCTTATATTGTCTGAATGAATTTATTAGAAATATTGACCTAATTTTTCAAATTTTAATCTTAACAGGATTTTAAAATGATGAAACTCAATTATATTAATGACATAACTCATACTTCTTTGAGTATAATGCATTTGTTTTATGACATGATAATCATAACCAGAACCAGAGATGTATATCCAGGACAGTGAATTATTACTTTACTTTCTCCAAAGATTTCTAGATATTCTTGGAAGACCTGCTTCTATCTATTCCTTATACTTCCTGGAATATTAAGACACTTAGTTCAGCGTCTTGTTTCCTCTTCTATGTCTAACATCAATAGCTCAACCAAATAGTCAAAAGTCTCAAGACCATATAGTTAAGCCAGCACCTGGAGACATATGTAACGACAAAGAGAGGTAAGGCTATCACCAGGTTGTTTTGTCCAATATCTTTTCATTGCTATAAAAATACCTGAGACAGCTAATAGTTTTGAAGGTTCACATTCCTGGCATCACTTGAGTTCTTAACTATGGCATGTCATGCCAGAGAAGTGTGTGTGTGTGTGTGTTTGTGTGTGCATGTATGTGTGTGTGTGTGTGTGTGTGTGTGTGTGTTTAAGAGCTTCCCAAAAATGAAGGGCCCGTCTTTGAAGATGGTTCCAGTCTGGATGGTAGGTATAACCAAAAGCACCACCAGAAGTCAAAGAGAGAGAGAAACTGGAGAAACTGGGTTCCTGGGAAGATATTATCATAACGACCCTATAGGCCTCACCTCCCAAAGATTTTTAAAGTACTTCTCAATACCATTACCTTCAGACCAAGCCCTCAATCACAATGGACCTGTAGGTGGATATAAACCCAATTCAAACTATAATACTTTTATTAAAGGAAAATTATTATTCAAGAAAGGTCCATCACATTGCTTAGTCTTACTGCATCTTTGACCCTAAACTTAATTGTTTAGAGAAGTAGATAAAATAAATGTCTTCTCTGATTTTTGTCTATGATATCATCTTGTCTCTGAGCTCTTCTCTTCCAGTGTCTCATTGAATGGGGAGAGTCTGCGTGGAGTTTCTGTGAAGAGAATTCAAATAAAGGAATAATTTCTTCTTAGCCAATGAACAACACAACTGGTTATGGTGGAGTATTTTTGGATTGAGTACTGAGAGAAGAATCACATGGAAATATTTGGGTGAGAGAAAAGGAAATGGAAAAGAAGAAAAAGTCATAATATTGGCATGTGTATTTGATTCTCTGCATAATTTCTATAATAGTTATTCTCATAAGTCCTCTGCAAGAAAATAGAGAAGAAGGAGGTGTCAATCACAGTTTATGTGAGAGTAGAAGGAAGCCCCCAAACAGTCTATATGTCTACATGATCCAAAGCCCAGGATTAGCGGGCCTACACAGGTACTCTTGAGACACCTAAGCTTCACATGCCACCTTGTGGTAGAAGCTGAGCTGGTGTACCAGCTCATTGACCTCAGGGCTCATTTCTCTGAGTGGGATGCCCTGTAGACCCTCTACTTGCTAGCATGGGCCCAAAAACACAAGCTCAGGGTCTGCCTCAGGGAGCTGTTTCATCACCAGGTTGTGGTAGAATGGAATGTTCAGAGTGAGGAAGGCCTTCAATTCCTTTGGGAGATTCAGCTGTCATCTTCCATGGATCCCCACTAGGCCCAAGCTAACCAGGAGGTGGTAGCTGCAATGGCTCAAGCCACAAACACCCCAAGCAGCAGCAGCAGCAGCAGCAGCAAGAGTCTCATCAGTACCTGGCAGAAGCTGATCCACAGGCTATAGGTGAAACCAGCTGGCTAGTGTACCATGTCTGGGTCTGTTGTCTCTTAATCAGCTGTTCTCATCATTACTGAAACTGTCTCAGAGTCAACCTCCATGGTATCCAACATGGCAGCCAAGAGCAAGTAACTATTTTCTATAAATTAAAATCAAATTAAAAATTCAGATCCTCATTTATAATAACCTTGTTTCAAATGCTTATTAATTCCATGTCTAATGTTTACAACTTGGACCATGCAGATTGTTAAAATATAAAGTTACAACAAATCTAGTTTTGCCTTTTCTTTACTCGCATTATTTGAGGTTCTAGACTCAGACAGTAATTTAGATGAAAGTGGGTGACTATACCTCACTATAGAAAATGGAATTGAGATACAGAGCCAACATGAGTGAGTACAGCTTGATTCTGTCTTACTCAAATGTGGTTTGAACAACTGGCTGACTGTGATTGGCTAAGACTCAGCTACTTGTACAAGAATAGGTGGCAGTCTGTTTATAGTCAAGTTAGTTTACAGTTGTCTATATACAGAGAAAATTTTAAGTCAAACAAAATTTGCACAGAAGCATCTTTGGGTCAAACAACAAAATAAACAGCATTTTAAAGACTCCTATGTAAGGCTGGAGGTGTGGATTGAGCAGTAGACCCTGCCTAGAAAGCATGAGACCCTTGGTTCAAACTCCAGTGCTGCCAAAAAAATACTATTGTTCAAAAATCATAACTGAAAGTTCTATTAGAGAATCCTTGCATAATCCCATGGTGAGGAAATAAAACTTTCCTGGATGTCTATATGTTCTTGTAAAGACTTTGAGCTTCCAGAAATACAGGCACTTATAAGAAATAAATATAGATAATTCTTGCTTTTGCTTTTCCCAGAAACATGTACTCTTGTCATATGATGAAATAAAGAGGGTCTCTGTGTGTTGGCCCCTATGTTGTTACTTTTCTCACTGTGGACTGTTTAGCCTGATGGAACCTAACTGAAAAATTCATGCATCCAATTATATTAGAAATGAAACAAACAAGCACATTTTCAGCATTTAGAGTCTAAATTCCCCTATGAAACCTCACTCTACAGCTGTTACTTCTTGATAAAATAGGGCCTTGTGTTTTAAGGCCCTACATAGCTATGGTTGTTCCCATTGGAGATTTGATCCCTGCTATTCTGTGGAGCAATATTGCCAAGATCCAAGTTCTTCCTCATATGTCTTTTCTTCAGGAATTCCCTTCTGTAGCTGTTGGATAGACTGCTGGCCTGTCAGACATGTCCCAAGACAGAAGATGCCAAATCTGCCAAGGCATTATCCGTGAAATCTTGTGGACACCACTCTCTCACTGATCATG